ATGGTATTACCATCACGAATACGTGAGCCGTCAACGGCAACTGGTAGATGGCACAGCCATCGCGATTGCGCGAGCTCCTACCAGAAATTCGTTGCGCCGCCCTTGGGGGCAAAAAACGGTGAAAGCTAACGTACGAAATCAGAGGGCAGCACACGGTGCGATCGCGCGACCCTGCACGTGAGCAATCTCCCAACTCATCTCTGCTCTGCATAGCCGCCTGACAATGACTTTTATGATGTCAAGGAAACACTTATAAAATTTTAAAACCAAAGCTTTCGAATATAAATTTCTTTTATACTTTGCACCGACCGTCCGTAAATGTTTTAAACACTCCGACAGTCGATAATTTGACAACCTGTTAACAGATGGCGCGATCCGCTACTTCTTCGTCCTTGAACAAGCTTAAGGTCATTATCGACAAGAACAATTCCTCGTCGATATTTTCGTTAACGCACATTGAATGCGACAGTTTGCATGTAGAACTATTTCGGCAGATTCGTCTCCGCTATTCGTAGTTCGTCATTTGTTAACAAGTTTGTTGCAATGAAAATACATTGATTATTCTTCGACATCGATACCTTGCTGTAGTGTTAATCATTTATAACAACGAGATACGTTAGAATTAAAAGCTCGTTTATATCGCTAAATTCCGTAAATACTGGTAAGACCGTGAGGGTTCCCGGAACCAATCCAAGAATAGAAATTCCCGCTGAATTTATCTTAATTAAAACAACAGTATTTAATAACATCTGATGGAATCATATTCTCGATACGATAAAGGCGTATCAATTTCGCGCGATTTCAGAACTGCAAGGTCACGTGTAAAAGTCTCCTCAAATTTTGACAAGTACATAAACAATAAGTTCCACTTATAAGTGAATAAAAATTGTATACAATGGAAAACTGATTTTACGAAAAAAAAAACTCGCAAATAGAAACATTTATTCGGCAATCCTTTGAATACAATGCTTCCTCATTGAGTTGGGCATCGAGTATACATTTACAAATCTGACATAATTTCTTTATACCGTGGATACACTGTTATCCATCGTCTCAACTCGTAACGCAAATAAACGAGCTTCCAGGTCAGATGCTTTTGAAGAAAAATATAGCCGCGCAAGGAGAGGAATGGATTTTCAAAAAAGAAATGCAAAGCTTTGGTCATGGGCGCACTCGCTTGCCTCTCTTGATAACAACGAGTTCGATTGTTGGTTTTTTCAATAAAATTTATTTAAGAACCTAAATAAATTAAAATACATGGCAACTGGGTACACATCGTTGAGCTATATTTTTGTTCAAAAACAAAAATGTCCACTCTCTCATTCTCTCTCACGATTGTTTTTCATATCGAATAATAATTGATTGAGTTGGCAATAATAATAATAATTAATAATAACTAATAATAATAAGAATCATGACCGTAATAATAAATCGTGATAATAATGATAATAATAATCATCGTAATTAGGTAAATCGATTAGGCATGCGTTCACTGCTGTATATATACAATTATGCGCGAGATATGTTTCGAACGTGTTCGACGGTATTATTAATAATGATTATTTCGTGTTACTTCGGTCGTAGAGTCGCCTTATCATTACTCCAAACGCCATCTTGTTAGGTTGACATCGTACTTAAGTAACGCGCGCATTAAGTAGTTTTGTTTTTTACCAAGATGACGGGAGTACTTGGAGACACACGAAGGCATGAAAAATACTTCCGAAATCGAAACCCAGCAAAAGGGAATTCCACGTGGAAATTTGAGAAACAAGGGAGCGTCATTATTCATTTTTAGGAAATTCAGATTTGCCAGGAATGAGACTAAATTAAACTAAGATTGAAAATGGCCTTTCGCTAACCGATCACAAAATGTTACGCCTCTTTTGTGCCTCGTGATGGCATTTCTTGAAATATACAAGTGGACCTTATTAAATGGGTTTAGTTTGGATACATTCGGTGTCTCCGGGCACCATCTTGTTAGGTCGACGTTGAACTTAAGTACCGCAGGAATTAAGTAAATGATCAAGATGGTGAAGAGTAGTACTCGGAGGCTCGCAGAGGCTCGAGAAGTATTCCCGAAATCTAATCTCAGTGATGGCGCAATTAAGAAAAAGATTTATGAGCACTCAATCGGGTAATTTCTCGATATAAACTCAGATACTTTGAGAGAAACGTATATGTAACGGCGCTGTAGCGTCGAAGAATAGACGCCACGTAGGATGTCCTTCCCCGCGTCTTTTGCGAGTCTCTTTTCTGGCCAACAAAGCGACTTTCTCGGGAATTTCAATAGTGAATCCTCTAAGGTGGATTTGATTTCGGCAGATTTGATTATTTCCTCTCACCGCCGCTGCCTAGGCCTGGCGCAAAACGACGACGAGTCCTCTTTTGCAAGCAGCCATCTTGCCTGGTAGGCCATCCACCGTACGGTGTGAGAGAAGTGAGATTGCGCCCGAAAAAAAGGCTGATAGGGGACTAGTCTCTGGCACTTTTCCCGTCGAAAATACTAAATGAAATGGGAAACGACAAATTAATCGGAATTGCAGACTCGTCGCCGAGTTTTTGCGCCGAGGCGCGACTTTTCAAAAGAAAACTTCGCATAATGAAACGCTACTTCGGCCTCGGCCCGTTACAACGTTCGCGCCGTGCTTAGCGTTAAGGTATCAAGACAAATGGGTCGTTCACTCTAACTCCGCCCTCGATTTTGAGTTTCCTCAGTCCTCGTGCTACCGCAAGATTTCCCGCGATCTTCTTTCTATGTACAATCACCGTGAATTCGCTTGACAGCGCGAAGAAACGTAAAAGAGCGTAACTCTTAATTCTCCTCGGACATGAAACATGGCGGCGGGCAGTGGCACCGAATTCGCGGTTATTTAGCCAACTACATCGCGGATTTCTTTACGCAGCTAAAATGGCACTCAATTCCATGATGACTAAAAGAACAGCGAAAGAAAACTATGTTTTGTTAGTGATAGAAAGAGATAATGATCTGCCTACCGAAAGCCACCATCTCGCGGGGCGAGAAGATGGCTACAAGTGGAGGTGGCGCCGCCATGCTGCGACACACAGACCAATCGCGTTGTTCTCGTCTCGAATTTATAATGAAAAGCAATGATTAAACCTTTTACCGATCGTCTTGTCGCGTTAAAATTGATATCAGATCACCGGAGAAGTATATACGACTGGACTCTGGGCAGATCCGATGGGCAGTGTTACGCGCGAACGAGCCGCCAAGTTTTAGTATCGGCACATTTCGAACGGTTAACAATGGCCTGAAGACGGTTGAGCGTAAAAGTACACGGGAACGTTAAAAGGAAATCACTGAGAGCAGACCAACGAGTAAAGTATCCACGTAGGAGCCATTCTTCTCCTAAACAAATCTTACATAACCTCCCTTGCTGGTCCATTTATTATTACACCCTACGTTCTTATGTAATTTAACGCACATCCGTCCCAACTCCTGAATGACAATAGCGTCGCTGAACGTATGTACAGCTTTCTCTCTTGTGTACAGTACACTCTCACACTCACTCATACTTTGTATTTCCCACACACAGTCTCTCTCACTTGCTCAATTTCTGTAATCAATCGCCGCTTCTAATTACGTAAACGCAACGAATTCGCAGTGTGCGCGTGTGTTTGTGTACGTGTGTGTCGGTAATACAAGTTTCATTTAAGGTTATGATAAAAGGAGAACGGGTGGGGGACACGGGGCACTCAGGGCGGGGGATACAAGGGAACGGGTCAGGGAAGTGTAATAAAATCGATCGATACTATTATATCTCGAAAGAGGAACCATATCTTTTGTCTCTCGCTATTTATAAAAATAATTTTAAGCCGCCATATTTATATTAGCAATATTATCATTAATCGTTTCTCTACCTTCGACTATAATATGCTTCTTGTTTACAAACTACGCCGTCATGTCACCGTCGTCGTCTACGTTGTCGTCGTCATCCTATGCAGCAATTTCAGCTCGCAACGAGAGCTGGCCGATTGTTGCCTTTTGCTTTGTGTTCACATCACTTTGCACATACAATTGTTTGTTTTTCTTTTTTAATGCGCTTCACGCGGCTTTTTACACAGAACGCGACGCTCTACAGTTCCAATGTAGGCGTGCGCGTCTCGTCGTGGCGCTGCCATCGCTTCTATTCGCTTATTTCTTACGCGGTCCCGCTCGTTTCGCTCCTACCATGGATTTCCCATCTTTCTTGAATCGCCCTTTAATGCTCGTCCTCGAAGTGGGGAAGAAAGTAATTGCGTCCGAGAAAGAAGTCGACTCGCTTTTCAAAAGCAATCGCGACAAGGACACGTTCCATGTCGAACTTTCCTACGTCTAAAGTTCCGAAATTCCTCCAGACGTCTTCGCCGTGGCGGCAATGTTCGATGATATCAAAGTGAACGACTGGTTTCGATTGGTCACTGTCGCAAATTACTTCGGCGGAGGTGAAAAATTTGAAGAAATTGCAGAACGCGGTTGGCAGAGACCGCCATTTTGATTATGGCCGCTGCTGCTCTGAAGATTGTATCTGCATAAGAGTCGTTATAATGCCGAATTTCCAGAAGCTCATGTGTCACCGCACCGCAGGTTTGATTGCACATAATGTTTAAGGCATAAAAGATTATGTACAATCAGATTCCAAGGTGTAGTTAACAACTATGAACGTTCCAATTCATTTACTTCAGCAAGTGGTTAGGGAATATCTTCTCGCAATTACTCGGTAGTGACCGTCGTCCTGATCGCTACGACTGCACCATGACTTTACTCTAGAGTTTCAAGCGCATTCCGTGGCGCTGCGATCTCCATCATTCTTTCCTCTCAACTCTCCCGGAGATGGGGAAGAAAACAATTGCACTCGACGCCAAAAAGAAGTCGACTCCTTCTCTCCAACTAGTCTCCTACCAAGAATCCGTGTCGCGACTCGTTACCCCGTACGTCTCGCCAGTCGTATCGCTGAAACAGCCCGAAATCTCTCCACTGCGTCGGCATTTTCCTACCTAAAACTATTGCCATCCCTCGGTGAAAATTGCGATATACGTCGCGCCAGTGGTAGATTCAAAGAAGCGTCGGGATAGACTGGCTCGTTGGCTCCATTTTGACGAAGCGATGGCCTCGCGCACCTGGGCCGCCATTTAGCATCCCTTTGCGTGGCTCTACCTGGTTCCGGCAAACTCCTGGAGCACTTTGTCGGCTTTTAATTCGCTCTTCGCCCCTTCGCGACTCGCCTCTTTATCTCGACCTACGCCAATACTCTCCCCTGATATGTTATCGCGAAACAGAAAGTCCTACACGGAGAAATCCCGTTTTATTTATGAATAATACTTATTTATTGTCATAGATGCCGGCTTGATGAGCTCGCGCGGTCACGTGCGAACGGAGAAACTTGACGACGAAATATATTTCCATAGTAAATTCTTGATGCGTTAACGTTCCTCTTTCTCGCGCTCCTCTCGGTCGCAATGGCCCGCGCATTTCCACAAACTCGAGCACTCTTCCTCTCCCTCCGTTACTCTTGCTTTGCCTAACCCCTCGCGAACTCGATACAAAGCGATGGTCGAGGTTAGAAATCAACTTCGCACCTGCCGTCCGCTCGTATCGGATCGGAACGGCGAGAAGAAGGTGGGTAGTCAGCTTCGAGGTTCTTCCGTGTGTGTCCCTTTTAGTCAGCACGCGAGTAACGCAGTGTACAAGAATTTTGGCCACCCGCTGGCTCCTGGAGGACAGGGCCCTCGGTTATGTTGCATTTTTATATTTATATATTTATATATTTATATTTATATATATATACTTTGCCTTTCATATATATATATAATGTTATAGTTTCCTTTTTATTAGTAGGTAAGGCTGGACCATTAGCGTGCCGAGCCTTAGTCGAGAGTTTGTACAGGCTACCTGGACCTGACGAGCTTTTAACACAGGACGATGCCACCGCTTAGCCGCTGCTACTGCGGTTGCGGCGGATTGTGTTGCAGCGATGGCGGTGGGCCCTGGAAAAAAAAAACAATTTTACGTTTGTACCGCATCACATGTAGCATCATGAACGAAAAAGCCCTTCAAGATTTGCGAAATTCTCAGTTCACGTTGTAAACCGTAAGAAAATTAATTCCACAGAGAGTACCTAGTCTATGCATATCTGCTCATAGGGTTGGGCAGTTTCGTCAGCAAGATAATACTCCGCTAAATCGCCGTTACAGGAGAAAACAATTTATCGGCTATTGTTACTTGAAGTATTTAGTCTACTCACAGGCATCGCGGGGAAAGGTGGTTGAGCATGAGAATGCGGATGAGGATGCGGATGAGCTATGTGGGCCGCAAGATGGCCGGGTAGCTTTGGTCCATCCTCCGCTTTCTCCTCTTCTCTCCTTTTTAAGCACGCTGCCTTTGGGTTGAGGTTTCGTTCTGTAACGAGAGATCTGATTAGTAAGGCTTCGAAAGCTTGTGTTCTTAAGGAACGAATGTTCTGGAACTTTATGGCTCGGCCACTAAACGACGCTGTTCTCGCGGTTCGTGTCGATTGCAGCGCCAACTTGCGGCCGCTTTAGGATGTTTTGGATGTAGAATATTTCTTCAAGACAAAACTTGTATTTTCTACCTCTGACTTGCTGCTCGAGGGTCATTATAACCTCGACGGCCATGTTGAGGATGCCGAGCTTGGTTTGAGGTTTGTCCGTCTTGAGGTGCGTCATACACATCCTGCCAAGCTCCTTAAGGGCTTCGTTGATGTCCCTGATGCGTATCCTAAAAATAACGCGAAAATCAGTAAGAACTAGTTCATTTCTGCTCGAATCTCCCCAGAAAAGAATTCCCATGACAGCCATCATCCGATAGAACTGTTGGACTTAGCCAATACAGACACATGCAAAACAGAAGAGAAGAGATTTGAAAGATCGCTTGAAAAATTAATTGAAAAGGGAAACCGTAGTGCAGTTAGTACGAAACAATTAGTTACAATATTTACAGAGAGATACCCATCGTAGTGTGACTCCTTATCACGTGTTGGATTTAGTATTTAATTAGAGGGATTTCGAGTCACCAATTGTGTCTACTTGTTTTTCAGCTTGTCTAGAAATCGCAAATGTACAATTGAAAATAATTTCGTTACTTTCTGCACCGATCTCTCCTAGGTACATAGAATACGGGCCACTTTTTTCTTGGCGCAACTTAGTCGTCATTCTGTCGCACGGTTTTTTGGAAAAAGCCTCGCGGAGGCTTTGCTGGTGTTAGGTTCAGAGGAAAGTCTGGTCTTTTATTTTCGACAAGGCCCCACCTTCATGAAACCCTTACCTTTCCCTAGCATTGTTGGCCTGCCTCCTTTCTTTCTCTCGTTGGGCCTTCACATCGGGATCGTCATCCTCGTCTTCGGCGCTCGAACAACAGTTGCGTAATAACAATACTCAATTAATCACCTGCTATTAATAAAAAAGCCTCGAGGGTCCGATTCCTCAGGTGAGCTTTTTCGCAACGAAAAGCTCCGGCGATAAACTAAATCTTTCCTTCAGTTATTTCCAGGGATATCAACGAGCACATCCCTAGATATCCCTAGAAAGAATTGAAGGCTTGCGAGGTAAACGATCAGACGCAGCGCATTTTCTGTGACGTTTTTGTTACAGAAGATAAAGATATTAATCTATCAAACCGTTTTATGACGCACTGCGACTGAATTTAACCTAATTAATATGTTAAAAGGACAAATCAGAAATGTTTCTATGAGAAACGTCGTTCGAGCGACGGACTACTGCGAGACCAGCCAAGAGTTAATGAACACACGCAGGTTCCTAGGGATTTTATTTAAGATCTGGCGTCAGGTCGAATTCTCCCTAGATTATGTTTCACGCCTAGACAGTGGTTCTCTCCGAAAAAAAAGTTTAACCTGACGTGATAAACCTCGAAAGGCCCGTATTCTTTGCAGAATTTTTATTCCCTATCCCTACTTTGTGGAAACTTTTACACCGTCCTAGTGTGGCTTACTATGATTTCTGGAGGAAATGTTCATTTCGGGAAAGAATAGCATCCGCGTCTTAGTCTAAATATATCCGAAGTCCGCCAATCTGCGAAAGAACAAAAAGAGCTCCTGCCGTGGCCATCCATCTTGGCAAATCAGCTTTTCTCCGAAATTACGCGCACTTCAACAGATAAAATGGGCGCAGCGAAGTTCGTTCACATTTACTGAATCCTCCTGTGCTAATTTGGACACTGTACAACGTTTCATATTGACGTAATGTGGTAACGAATGTTCGAGGTGGATGTGTACCGTCCTTCGCATCGGATTGACCGGTTTACCAAGATGGCCGACCTGACTCGGTCGGAGCTGTAATTTAAAGGATACGGAATTTCTCTGTAGATAGAAACTTACAACTGAAATTGCTAGAAAAATTAGAATGAGAGACAATGGTGAAGAGGGAAGAAAATTCGAAAGATTGCCGAATAAGTGTGACGGTCGTGCCAACGGGAAATTGCTTCTTACCGAAAGATCGAGGCCGATAATAAAGTCGAGGAACACGGAAGGGAGGATGAAAAACATTTATAGACTACTGATTACCCAGGTAATCTCGATGCAACGTTCATTTATGTGCAGTGTAGGAAATACCAATAACAAAAACCAGTGACGGTGAAAATAAATACAGAAGTCAGCGAGTAAGAGGGTAAGAGACTAAAGGAGCATGCCTATCGGCCGAATCGCAGTTGAATTAAAATGAAACTGATTTCAAGGTACGCTCGAGAAAATCTGATTTGTTCGAATCAACATCTCACATCTCTGCCAGTAACCAGCGACATTTTAATTTTCGCCTACCGAATGCGGGCCTTAGAGTTTTTGGACTTCAGGAATCTTTTGGGATGGGTATGCAAATGCCAATTGAAAATGTCAAGATCAAAACTATCGTCAAATACTATTCGTAATATAAATACGCTCTCATTAATGCTTGGCATAAACATACGACTAGGGAATAATGATAGAAGGCGTGGCCAATTCTTTTCATCTTAACCTAATAGATGTAACAAGTAATGCGGTAAGTAGAAATGAGGATTACACAGGATGAAGAAATTTGTAAACTTTACCAACTGACATTTGGAAAATAATGTATATATCGAGAATTATTTTCTAAAGCCAAAGTTGAAAGGCAAATTTGATGAAAGTACAAGAATCCCATTTACTTGATGCGCCCCGCCGATTACCATTTAGGATGGAGATAATGTCAAAGCCAGGCAGGGTCAGAGGATGGGATGAACTGGTGGATCAATTTCTTACCAAAATGCAACAAAGTGCGTACTGCGTGTGTTCACTAACCTTTCGCGCACGTTGTTGGCTTGGCGGCGTTCTTTTTCGCGCACCGCTTTGGTGCCAGGGTCGTCACAGTCTTCGTCGGCGCTCGAACAACGATTGTTCAAAGACAACAGCAAGTTAGTTAAGTAATACCGCAAAGAGGATCAAGATTTTGCTAAAGGCGTTTGACATGGCGGAACTTTTTACATAACGGTTGCGAAGGCTGCCCTCGGCGCCATAATAAGAATATAGAATCGCGCTGCTTTGTCAGGACAGTAGACAATTGAATGAAGAATTTAAATTAACAATAGTTTCTTCGGGTTTCCTTGAAAACTACTTGGGTAAAATTCCCATATTTAGATTTAAGAGACCTGGACCCGCAACAGTTCCACATTGATGACTAGATTTGCAAACCATTAATCTCGAGTACTTTCACAGCATTGACCGGCACAGATAAGGTCTGAAATCGAAAGTACCGCAGGAATACTTCAAGGTAAGTCGCTATCAGGGATAGAGCAGGTCGCAACCATCTTTCACTATTTTTCAACATTTGCCGAAATATGTGGGAGCCGATCAAAAGCGAACGCCTAGGTAATTCTCCCTAAGGGGGTTAAATACCCCCGGGGATCCATAAAGTTTCTATCCCGGAATCTCAAGTATAGCGAGCGATATCTTATGTTCCGCCGGTCACAATTTATTGGTGCCATCTTGCTGATTACGAAATGTCGCAGATCTCATGAAATGGTGCAGTTTAAGGCGATTGACGCGCATTTGAATTCTCGAGTCGACGCAAAGCGCTATCGCGCGCCATGTTTGTCCGCTCCGTCAATGAGATCGCTTCTCTTCCTTTCCGTTGAGACACGCGATTGGTGGAGCGTTCAAACATGCTGCGACACGAGGCCCTGAACGATTTTAACTATCACTGGGCTTTTTGTAGGAAAGAAAGGATTCCGATTGATAAATATACTTACTATCTACGCGACCTCTTGGTGCCTTTCACCTGTGAAGTCGAATTGACCGTCGCAGCACCTATGACACCCGCCGCTGCCAATTCGCTGCTCGAAGGTTTCGTTTCGCCACCGCTACTGTCCGGAGGGTCTTTCCTCTTTTCTAAAGAGATGTATTCTAAATATTATTAATACTGCCGGACTATTGTACAGATTCCTACATCTACAATAGAAGCGGCTACTTAAACTGGACTTTCTTTCAACGCGATAAAATACATGAAACGGAATTCGCAACCCGGAAATCAGCAAGAAAGGAAAAACCACGACCTTCGGTTGCGACTCGAAGGCATTACCTTAAAGATTTGGGTTGGACGTTTAGTCACAGAGCTAAGAAGAATCGGAACGACTGCCATCTAAGTTATAGGAAGCGTATCGGGAATCAATTGTACTTTAATCCCATGCACCGGAATACCTCTCGATTTCACCGCAATCTCAAAGTCAAAGAAGGCAACGAAACTAATGAAAGTCCGGAATGAGGTATTCCCGGAATAAGATCCCATACTCGGCGCGACCTAGTCGATCGTTCCAGCATTTAGACAGAAACTTATAATCCACCGTTATTTATAAACCTGCCACTGGAAATTGACACGGCAATTTCATGGAAACCACTTTTGTCGTCAAGGTCGAGGACTTGCCGAGTGCAACGCGTGTACTTGGCGCGGAACTCAGCCGAGTTTCCCCACGGGAAGTAAAGCGCTTCCGCGCGAAAGAGAGGAAATTCGAAAGGAGCGTTCGCCTTGGAAGAGCAAATCGGTGAATCGGCGAATCCAAAGAGCCATCCCCGCCAATTACGAGCAGGAAGCGCGTGTACGCGCTTACGCCGAGGATTCGCCCTAATTTAGCGAATCCCACAAAGGCGAGCAACGATTCTCTCGGCCTGCTACCGATAGGAATAAAGGAGTAAGTCGCTGGCGAAGAGGACAAACGATCCCTCGGCTCCGGAGAGTGTTCCGAATGCCGATGACCATCTATGGTCAAGGCTGAAGGATGCAGAAAAGCGACACTCCAACTGGCTAAGGACATTCAGCCATAAGGCCCGTAGGAAAACTTGCGCATTCCATCCCGCGTTCCTAATCCGTAACCGGGAAGATTTCAGCCTCCGCTGCGCATCGAGCATAACGAGACTGAGAGAGAGAGAATGCATAAACGCTGCCGGTAGGAGGAATAGAGGACTCCTAGAATGGTACGTAGCTGGCTCGGGCTGGATAGCTGGAGTTGGCTGCGACCAGCGTGATTTATTTAATCCCGCCTTATCGGGATAAGGCGACCAGCCTCTGAACACCTGGTCGATATTTTTTTCCTTCCCGCAGCCATGGGAAAAAGTGATAGGCCAATGATGCGCCGACAAGAATAGCGCCGCCGCCATCTTGGCGGATCCGTGGAGGATGCTGTACCTGTGCGACTGTTACAACTGATTAAGGATACTTTGCCACTCTGTAAGACACTAATATCTCCAAGGTGATTGGAATTCCGTGAAATTTTCTCCCTAGCTCGTGGAAAGCGATGGGACGGTGATGCAACGTGGAGAATAAAGGGGACGCCATCTTGGCGGTCTGTAGAGGACGCTGGAAACTGCGGACGCCTTACAAATTGTGGTTCTACGGTGATACCACCCAGACGGGAAATTGGAAACCGTTTCTCTTCCCACGCTTATTGAGATGTTACCAAACGATCGTTTGGAGGGTACGATCGTCAAGTTCAACTTACTGGCATTGGCGACAGGTAGCCTTTCGATTTTGATTGACCCGTCCGTGTCCGGCGTGGGCGCGAGTCCAGGATAGGTGCCCTGGGGTTGCGCCACCGTTACCGCAGGATGAGGACTTGTCTGAAACAATGCAACAATGATCGAACGATGCACATCGACGACGGCAATCGGCCGATCTGGACAGTTTCCAGCCGATACTCGGATTCGTCGGCAGCATCTTACCAGGTGGTCCAACTGCGGTGGTGATGTGTGGGAATACATGGGACCGTGTGGTCCCACGGGACCAAGATGGAGACCCAATTGACTCTCCGCGTGGTTCCTAAGGACGTTTATGGCATCGTCTAGTCGCTCCTCCATGCGCGTTCCCTGTACCAACAGAATACGAGAAAGAAGGCCCGATTACACGTCACCTTTCGGAAATGATTCCCGGTTCGTGAAAATTCGAGTCCTAATGCTAAGTCGCAGAAAATCGTGCAGAGGGCTCCTGAACCTTTTTGAGTATTCCCGATCTCGTGACCGTGGAATTACTTTCCCGGCTTGGGAACGGCCACGGAAGTTAAGAGGTCTGCGCCAAACCTGGAAAGCCTGAACAGAGGTTTGTGCACCGCGGACAAAAGCAAGTGGTAAGTAAAAGAAAGTGAAAACCGTGGGCACGGAATCGGCCAGCATGCAGTCGTAAATCTTGGAAGTGTTAGTCAGAGCAATTGTCGGATGATAAAGCGTCGGAGGATCGCATCGAAACGTGGAACGTCTCTCAAGATGGACGCCAATTGCATTGAATTCACGTTCTCCTTGAAATATATATATATTTTTTTTTTTTTTTCAGAAATCTCTAAGACGGGTCAAAGGCTCCACGAGCTTACTATTCGGGATATTTACAGGACGAAGAATCAAAAGATACCGAATGTTTGGGGAAACTTGACATGAATTTGAAGGTAGATGTTGGTCTCTAGTCGCGTATCAAAGAAAGCGCAATTGTTACCCCCTTCTTCGACTATTTCCGACGCTGGCAAATGATTAATCGAAAAATCGCGCATTTTCCAACGGAACGTGATCGAGGCGCGCGGAAAATCATAAAGCCGCCTTAAATGAAAAATTCAATAAGAGCCTTAAGAAGAAAACAACGAGACAGATTTCCGAGTTACGTGGAACGACGTACTGGGTCCTAGACAGGGTGGATTCCGGTGAAAGAACTCAAGTACGCGTACTCAATTATCGAATGAAATTATTTATAATTTTTTTTTCTCTTTTCAACGGCCTTTTAACGTCGTTCCACGCGTTCTCGCTGCAACTCGACATAGGGAAATTAAAAGAAAAACCAAAATTCGGCGATCCTCACCTCGGCGTGGTCGCGTAGGAAGCCGATGGCATCGTCTAGCCTCTGTTGTTCGGGCGTCGGCTTCACACACAACACCAACGCAACAACAAAACCAAAAAAAGATAACCAAGTCAACACAACGTCCACAACAAACAAGGAAAAATGGCGGTCCGGGGCGGGGGGAGGACGAGTTAAAAATCGAGACAAAAAATCGAGAGTATAAAATCAGGATATGGAAAAACAACACAAAGGCGAATCAACAAATCCTCGGTGCACGCCATCATGCTTTTGTGCATCCCTGGTGCAATTCCCCTTATTCGTTATTTTTATTTTATATATATATATCCCTGTCTCTTGGAAAATTTTATCACGCGCTTCCGATCGAGTCCCAGAGAAACGTCCTAACAATTGCTTGGGGTTTCGATATCTGGGTTGGACGGTATAAAAAAAAAACATTATCGCATTCTCTCTCCGTTTATACGGGAGAGCGCGGGGATTTATTTATGTGTGTCGATCGGTATTGAGTAATGGCGGATTTTCCGTGGTCTGTGGGAGCTGGCTCGGGATCGTCGGGGATTTTAGTGCTGGTTAGAGACAAATGGATCCGATGGTTAGTTCGAAAGGTCCCAGGGGTATTCTCGAAAACATTAGCCACTGTGATCTCGTTGGGGATGCTCGGGGTGTGCATTTGCGACGTTTATGTTTTCCTTTCCTTCTTCTTTTTCATTGCGATTATAGGGCGAGTGCACTGTGGAAAGCACCTTGAAAATCTAGCGGCATAATCGCGAAAGGATTATAATTAAGTTGAACGAGGGCCCAGATATAGGTGGAGAACTCGTGAAGGGTCAAAGGCAAAAGAACTCCAGATGCATACCACGTGTATAGTACCACGGTTTGGGTCCGCCGTGAAGTGAGGCGAAATCGGAGCGGCACCTGGTGCCCAACCTGGTGCCGAACCGGTCAAAGGTGGTGGCGAGCTGACTGGCGTTGAAGGGTTACTGCTATAACTGGATACTGATTGGTCCGCGGGGTAGATCTGTCGGAAAGAGAATTATCCTTCATTAATCTATACATTACCAAGAAAGAAAGAAAAAAGGACCATTTCCAAGGCTCAAGTTTTTCGCCCGTACCGCAAAATTTCACGTAGAATACGTCTTTCGGACCTTCCAGAATCTTCCTCTAACTCCTGTTTACATTCCCAACGATTGCCTTTCTGAAGGGGTTACATGCAGTTGTCATAGGCGAAATTCAAGAATTCTTTTTCATAACTGAAATTCATTTCTTAATCGAAAACAGAGCGTGATTTCATAATTAAATTATTGGACTTAATGTAATTTTTTTTTGTCGACATATTTAAAAATTGGCGAGGTACAGCAATTCTCTGGGTTTTTTTTTTTTTTTTTTTTTTTCTTCAGAGGTGACCTCCTGTGACAGCTGCATATCATCCCTGAAGCGGTTGACATTTCGAAAAATGGCGAGATTTCGGCAATTTCTAACGTTTTTAAAGATTTCAGCTTTCCTGAAATCCTCCTTCAAATGTCATGTTTCCCTTTTTTAGGGCGACTTAGATGAGCGTCAATTAGCGAGGGTAATAGATTTCAGTCAAGACGAAGGACGTATTCCACGTGGGAACCATTATAGCGGGAGTCTGAAGTAAGGTCCAAGTCCAGGTCGAAGGACAGCGGACATTCCTCTTCTCCGACAGCAGAAAAGAATGACGTGGTACAACACGTACTCGGGTGCTTACTACAGAGGCGAGGGTCTTGCCCAGGCTGTCCCCCGTCGGGGGTTGCGTGGCGCTGGGGGCGGCGGGTGCGGCAGGTGGCGCTGCGGTCGGCGCGCCGGGACTATGGCTATATTGCAACGACGCCGGAGAGGGCGCTCCAGTTCCCCCGCTGGCCACCGCGGCGTTGCCTCCGCGGAAGGTCGACATAGGCGGGAGCGACGCCGCCGACGTCACCGCCGAGCCCAGGATCGGCGCCGCCGGCTCGCCGCCCGGCGACATCGCCGAGTACGCCTGAAATAGGTAATAACTTAGGTTAATCCTAACCTAAAAGAACATAATACGCGTCGACGCGTCATTATGCATCCATTTCCTCGAAGTTTAGGGCCCCACTGGAAGGTCGTCCGCCATTTTGATCGTTGCGACTCTGTATTTAATCGCAGGAGGTTGTTTTACAGGTTTTGTTTGGATAATCGATGACGCGTTCGCGGAATTCTGTTTGTTTTCACTTCCCAGTGAGCTTCGAAGACGCGCCGCCGTCGCGCCGAAATCTCCGCCATTTTGGATCCTGCGGATCTCGGGATTGTTTCGAGAAGCACGATACGCCGATTGTTAGTAAATGCTAAGCCGATATATTTTGTCTTCAGAATATATCTAAGTCTACGTAACAGAAACTCGACTTCTGAATTCCCTCTATCGGGGACAACTTAAAACTTTGGATTTTGCACATTTAGTAGGTTCTTTTTTTCAAATATTCAAGGGAAGCGTAGCTACGTTCAGTTCGCTCCGAATTTAGGATGCGAAAGCCAAAGAGGGACCGAAGTGACTCCTAAAGTATATAATAAAATTCAAGGAGATCGGATTAGCAGGATGAAACGCAGCTAAAACGGAATTTTTTATGCCGGATGTGCTTCAGCCGGGTGCCATGCCCTCGTGACCAGCAAAGCTGCTCGTAAAACACTTTCAAGTCAAGCTCCCTATAGAAGAGAGTATAATTACGGACGTATCGGGGAGCTTAAATAAGCTCTTAAGTGCCCCGAGAAACCGTTGATATCAGAAAAGGAAAAGAAAGGCCGGGTCCGAAGAAGCAGAAACGCGCATTCCACCGAACGAAATGGACGGGCTTAAAAGTCCTTCCCAAAGCAGATTCTAGAAATCAAAAGAAGGTGTTACGCCCAGCATAAGAAAGCAGATACTCAGAGAACACTACGAGACCTCGAATGCTGATAACAAACGACGTTGGGCATTGTTAACCACGTCCGAAAGTTGATCAGAAGTTTGGGATTTACGATAGGAACCCGGGCCCCCTGAACGTCGTAACGCATGGGCGTAAACTTTTCAAGAGTCACACTTAAGAAGCCAGCTCTCCCCAGAAAATGGGGCAGTAAACGACGGCGGAGGGCTCGTAAATGTTAGGCCTTTAATCCGAAAAAGAAGTTACTGCCGGTGCACTTCTTACACTTTATTATAACCGGAGTTATGTGCGAGAGGGACCGTGTATACCGAGCTAGGAGTCCGTATCTCCGTAGGGAGGTTGAAACGATGATCGGGTGTTAACTGTAGCTACACGGAGCTGCCAGGAGCTGCCGAAGACAAAGGGGAATTACCGGATGTTTATGCCGGGCATTAGTGGCCATGTTGAAGGGACTAAACGAGACCTTTAATGCCCGTTTTATTGTCTTTCACCTCGCGCAGAGGGAGACGCATGGCCGATACCAAGACCGAGCGTATGATCAGGTGTTAACTGCAGCTACTTCAACGGCGGCTGGAAACCGGGAAGAATTACTGGAAGACGATGGAAAAACGTAAGAAACACTCCCGTAGTTAAGTCGCGGCTGATGGGCTGAGACGTGGTCGCCGATAGGAAGAGACATGGGGTGTCCTTATCAGGGAACAGGTGCTTTTTAGCCACCACCAGGCAGATCCAGGACTCGATCCTCTTTCCTTAGCAGACCTGATCTTGAAACTCTGAAAAGTAACCCCGTTACCGAGGATGGTTTTGATCCCGAGGAGAGGCGAAGTCAAACTCGTGGAGGGGTACAATCACCATTGCTGGGGGTAATCCCAGGGGATCTGGGAGCAGAGACGTAACCGGCGACCCCAAGGCGTCCAAACGACCCGGGATCACGGACTAATGGGACCTCAGGGACTAAACGGTGATGTTAGAGCCTATAACCAGAAAACGGTCGGTCCAGCGCCCGCGAGGACGAAGAGGAGGCGATATCCTCGGCATCCTTGGACGGCGTAAATCAAATGAAGGCTGCGCCTGCACTTGACTAGAAACACGAGGTAGCGGGAGGGCTAAGTCTATATATAGAGCCGGTGAGTCACTTGACGTATACTGGGTACTGAATACTGTCAACAGTGCCTCTCAACCGGACGAGGTTGGCAGCCCCGAGGAGGACCGGAACTCGAGGGAAACCGACAGGGTGGTCCCAATCCGACGAGGCCGAGGAGACCCGGGAGTCCAGCTGGCCTCCGGGATCCGAGATGAATGAAAGTCGGGGATTAGTGCCCGCAAGTGGCTACCCTGCAGTTATCCTGGTTATCCAGGAGCCACGTGCCGGGGAACGCCAAAACATCGGTCGGATATGCGACCTGCCTTCGGGCTCGTGCCTTCGTATCCAAACAAAAGAGATCCTCCGAGAATCTGGAAAAATGGTTCGGATGAAATCAGATCCGCTTCCTCTGCTCCATCCGCCGTTAAGCGCGTCAGTGGGCTCTCGAGACTGGAATTTCGATGATTAAGTTAGAGTAAAGGGTTTTCATTGTCGCTTGAAACTACTCCGGGTTGACTTGGACGCTCCTCTAGGGTACTGGCTAAAACGAGTCCGGTTGATTTACTGCACGGGCGGCGAGGAATATGCAAACTGTTTGCACTTACCATGGGGTCGTGGGGTAGGTGCATGGGGTAGGCCGGTTGCGCCAGGTGAGGTGGCGCATATCCGCTGTAGGGTGGTTGAACTCCCCCTCCTCCACCGGACCATGGGTCTCCGGGACCCGTCCCCGCAGCGCTCCCATCTGAAACCAGAAATCAGACGGGACTTAATGCGAGAACCCCCATAGCAACCAGGCAGAGTGCAGCTGCCGGGGCGGCCATCTTGGAACGCACTTTTTTCTCCTTTTTTTACACTTTCTTTGGGCCCGCAACCACCCCATCGTAGGGACCCACGTGGGAGGGGATCCCTGGGGATGCGCGCTACCGATGGTGCATCTCTTTCCAACTTACTCTCTCTGCGACAAATCCCCGTACCTTTTATTCGGCATAAAATGACTTCGTTGTGATAAAACGATGAAAAAAGGAGAAAATACGGAGGTCGTTTGCCTCTCTGTTTCTTAATGATATCTAGGGGATTTCATTAGGAATCAAAAGGCAAGCGGAGCCAGGTAATATAGAAATTTAGGAAATAAGTTTACGAGAGTTTATCCCTAAGGCCAACTTTAGCGGGGTGCCCGGGAGGGCCAACAAGGCCGCCCCGAAGACCAACATCATCTCTGTTGGAAACAACAGCAATAAGCTTAGCGCGGGGGCGTATTTCTTGATACTTCGCTTGATATAATTTCGCGCTGTGGCTGCCGAGGGAAAACTGAAACTAAGCCAAACTATCTGGGGGCTCTATGAACAGGCATTCGATACCTGTTAAAACTTTTTCCGGGCCCGCCGCGGCTTCCATCTATGAAATATCTCGCCCCGTGCCAGGTGCGCGATGTCCGACTTCCGGATTTTTCCTTCTCCCTTATATTTCTCTCAGCGCTTCCTAAAATATTCCCGACCCTTTCCGGACCTTTTTCCCCTCTTTCGTTTTCGAGAAATCCGAGATTGCCAATACCTGCCCCGTGACAGATATTTCTTTGGCCAATGAATGCCGTTCATTGGTTTACTCTTCCGCGACGCCATATTGGATTCGAGTCCTCTCGCGCGATCATATCCAAGGGCCTCTCTTTTATTTCTTGCCGTTAAGGATTCTCCTCGTTCGTCATCCCGAAAGCGCGAAGTGGCGAAAATAACGAAAGAGTTCGGTCATTTGTTATTTCCCGCCCTCCTGCCGGGGAGGCTGGGGAGCTTTTCTTCCCTAGATTTCTCTCTGGGGAAAAAATGTCCGCCCGAATGCGAGACGGAGCGAAGTCGGCAAAAGTTTGCCGCGAGGCCGACTCTCGTCGAGGTTTCCAAAACGTGTTTTGTCCATCGGTCGGCGAAGAATGGAGGAGGATTGAAAGAGTTTAGGAAATCAGAGAAAGTTCCGTCGGGACCACAATGGCGACATTGACAAAGGACTCTTTGGAGCGTCTTCACGGAAGGATGATCCCTGGAGCTGGGAAGAGGATTCCTTGCAGTTTCCACGAGGGAGCCAATCGATACCCTCCTCGAGTCTCGCAATCGAACTTAACCTTTCGAATTTCCTCCGCCCAGAATATTCCCTTACGTCCTGAACTTCGTAAAATGAGGCTCCATAGGTTAAGGGTAAAAAATTGAAATCTGCCCACAAATATCTCTTTACAGAGTATCCGAGTGATCGGAGAGAGCAGGGAAACTGGAATATACAAAACCGTCAGTGATTTAGACCCTTTATGGGTGTTTTCGATGACAAATTGTCGCAGGAAATTAATTAGATCGGTTCGTTATTTCTCCTGACACCGCGCCATGGTATACAAAGAGGCGGATTTAACGGCGAGTGTTAAACTGTACGTTGTTACAACGATCGTAAATCTTTTTATCGTCTGTGCTCGTTAAACGACCCGACATGATACCGATCAACTGTGCTAGCATTAATTCGCAATTTGATCCGACTCGGTCGAGCGGATGAAACCGATCAGAGATTCTCAAGTTCGCGCTCGTCGTTTCACGGTACGGTCTGTGTATGTATATCCTTCTTTCATTCCAAAATAATTGACCAATTTCGATATCCGATTGCAGGTTACACGAGGAACGGACGGCGACTTTCGAAACCGGAATCATTCTTTGCCGTGAAACAATGTTTAATTATTCTTAGTTAATTCTACCTTTTGTACTAGACGTAACTAAATTTAAGCAATATATTGGCGATATCTTACCGATATAGTAGGGATCTGCGTATAAGGCGGCAGCTTTGGGTGAGGTGTATCTTGGGGAGTCCTGGCCAAATTCATCCGACGCATACTGCAACAAATCGATTAAAAGGGGATTAATATACATTACCAAGAACATATCAATTGATTTTTACGAACGTCTAAAAATTACGATATTGGTAGCTTCCTGTCCACCTACCCTTCATACTTGCGCTTAATGTTTATTATAGAATTAATACCGATTTTTGAATACGCTGGCTCATCTAATTAACCCTTTGCACTCGGTTGGTTCGATGCAGCAACTAGAATGGCGAATGAGAAGGAACAATAACCATTTACGTTTGATTTGGTCAAAGCATTGATGGCGATATGCAATATGCAAAACGCAAAAAAGAGCCTCGAGTTGCTGGGTCCCCCTAGGGGAAAAGAAGTCGAGGGCAAAGGATTTATCGTTGAATTTCACGTAAGACTATTAGAATATCGAGGCGTAGAATATTGTACCTATGAGATTTTTTAATAAATACAATTATTCATATTTTATCCCGGAAAGAAAAAAAAAACTAGAGTCAGCCGGCAGCGCCATCGGGCGGCGCGCGGAAGTACCATACGGAAGGCACGCGACCAGAGAGGCGTCAATTCGCCGGCGCGGCATCGCGACTCTGCGGATGCCATTTTCGTCCCAATTTCCCCGGTGATGTATGTTAAAATATTCCGGGGGTCCCCTCCCCCTCGCGCCGCCCATTCCCGGGAAAGTTTGCTGGGCTGACTTCCGCAAGAAGGTAAACTTCCCGGGATCTAACGCGAAGACGATGACAAGGGGGAGGGCCGGGACGCCCGGCTGAAATTTAACGCTTCCGTAGCGCCATGAAAGAATCGTAACTCGCGCGAAACTTTTCCACCGACACGCCGCCCCTCCAGCGCGTATGAAACTCGCGAGGCAGGGCGACACGCGACCGTATTTTCGCGAAAATCTCCCAAAGGCGAAGGAAACTGAAGAAGGACAGTCTAGGCTGGGTGTGCATAATTTTTTGTTCAATTATGACTAACAGGGAAGGAGTTATACACGATGCGTTCGCGGCGACGGTCGGCGCGCGACTGAAAGTTCCGCACGGGGCGCACGCTGCACGCGACCGCTGACAGCGAGACACGCGCCAAGTTCTCTTCAGTTGGAACAAACCGTCACTTAAGAATATCGCTCGACCGTGGCGAAAGAAGACGTTGTTTTACGAGTAAACATAATCCGCACGGTTTAAGTTCCTTCGTATATAGATGGAACATTACCGTTTAACAAATTAGTATAATGAACGCGTTTGAAAAAATCAATAGAAATCAAGAGAAGAGCGATTGAAAAGTGACGGTCGATCGAGTGGGGCAGTAAAGGCTGCTGTTTAACTGCGCGATTGCGACGGCATAAATAAAACGAGACGCAGAGAGAGGGAGAGAGAGAGGGAGAAAGAGTGAGAGTGTTATCTACAGTGGATAAGTTCGACGCAAATAAATCAATTTCTCCCGAGGGAAAAAGTGGATCGATAAGGAACGGCTCGGACCTCTGGACCTATTAATTTGAATGGGTTGCTTTAACACTCCGTGCTCTATTCCGCCCTCTTATCTTCCGCCATTGCTGAGCTCTTCGCTAAAGAATACGACATAACCTCGCAACGTTCGGTCCGATCTGCTAATACTAATTCGCATCGGATTGCTTTGACATTACACGAGCTATTTCGAGCACTTATCATTTACCAACTTTGCCCCGCCTATGTCCATCTGTTCGTACTACGGATTAAGTGTAACATAACCTAGCCACACCACGTAACGGCTCAACATTGAATCGACGAACAACGACCTCTGCTTTGTATTCAAATGAGGCAAAGTTAGGCAAAGATATTAATAACAAAATGAGTCGTAATATGTCATGCGACTGCTTTTCATTATTAATATGTCTGGCCCTCGGCGATTCGAGGCGCCGCCGCGTGGCCAGTATTTCAACTTTATTCCGCATCTCTCTCACCCACAGATTCGCTATCCGGAGGGGTACAATAATAAAAATGTCTGCGGTCGCCCGGTCAGAAATCTTAATATGTTCTCGGTGTCCCCGTCCAGCTACGTCAGCGACTTCCGGCCAATATAAATGTCCCACATTGATTTAGTTCGCTGACCCGCGGGCCAATCGGGACTCTCCGCCAGGAAGAATAGTATCGACGTCTCGATTTCAACCCGCGGCGGCCATGACGTCGAAACATAACCTCCAAGATGAGATACCAAGGCGCGGTCACGTGAAGACGCCCCGCCATCTTGCATTAGCATAGACTTTCTCGTACCTTAAAAAGTGAATAAAAAGGGAAACTGGTGGGAACAATGCGGCTTGATAAGCTTCACGAAATTCAAAGTACTTCCGACACGTATTTCCGTGCAGTGTCCTTGAAAGAGGAATGCCGATGTAGTTTTACCGACATAAAATTAACGATTACTCGCTCATTAATTACTCTTTTTTTTTTTTTTTCTTTTACCACCGGCCACTGTTAACAGGTGTCTTCCCGAAGGCAGCCGGTGGACCTTTTAGGTTATGTACCGTGGGAACTACGCTCGATCGATCCCACACGTGCACTCTTATCGGCGGATCAGCTGGAATGGCCTCTGATGACACTTTACTCTAATCGCCTCCATTAAAATCAAACATCCATCTTTCTTCCCCCTCCTTAAAAGAGCATCGATGTCATAGTACTGCCGCATATTTTTTGTTCTCCTTAGGTGATTATGCGGCGTAAGGGCATTTTCTCACGCAATTCCGTTATCTAACTGCGGGCTGGCATTGTTTATGGGAATGATATTACCTACATCAAGACTTCTTCGGCCGCCATTATAGGTTGGGATCGTGAACTAGCAAAAGCGTCCCGTGGAAGAACAACTGACGAAGGAGATTCTAACATCCTTGATAAACGGAATTACCCAAAGTTATATGAGAAATCGTTAATTACTTAAGCTTTATACATCTGTTTTACAGGATTTACTTTTCTTAATGAATTTAATAGTATGTCGATTGGTGTTGTAAATATGGAGATTAGTGATATCCAGTCTGCTTTCGAAGCAGATCGTGAAGTGCGCAAAGCGTCCCGTGGAAGGACAATTGACCAAGAAGGTTCTAACATCCTCGATAAACGGAATTACCAAAAGTTATATGGGAAGTCCTTAATTACTTAAGCTTTATAATTCTGTTTTACAGAATTTACTTTTCTTAATGAATTTAATAGTATGTCGGTGGGTGTTGTATATACGGAGATTAGTGATATCAAGTCTGCTTTCGAAGCAAGATGGCGGCGAGAAGTTCCCCGCCGCGCCGGGAAAGTTGACTCACCTCGCCGGAAGGAATTTCGAAATCGTCGAAATTCGTCGCTTCCGAGCGATTCGAAAAAGAGACGTAAGAAAAGAAAAAAAAAAAAGGAACTCGTTGGCACGAGTCCAGGAGTTCGCATTGCTAAGGTGAAAGGAAGAGTGCAATAACTGGAGTCGGTGAACAAAAAGAAGCGTGCAAGACGGGCCCGCATGCGCGGAAGACACCTGCCATGTTCGGACGTGCGCGTGCTCGTACGCATGCGTGAAGCCACCGGTGTCAACTCCACACACGCGTATCTGCCTTGATCGGCACGTAGGTTAAAGAAAAAAAGAAAAGAAAAGGGACATCACCACGATGCAAGTGTAATTATGTGACGCAACGTGACGTGCCCTCCAAGGGGGTACCCGGTTAATTGCTCGACATATGCTGCCATCTCGTGAAATGAAAATATAGCCACTTTGCAAGAGAAAAAGAAACTGATATCGAAGGTAAAAAGAAAGTTAACGAGACAGATACGTATTCCATAGGCGGGAAAAGTTGATTTTTTTGTTTTGTTCACTTCATTGACTTCGCGGTCGTGAAAGAGGTCGGCCGATCGTTAGGCCTCCTTTGAAATATTAGACGCATTGGACGTAGTTAACCTCTACCACCTCGAGAAGAAAAATCGAAATATCTTCCCCGAAAAGGAAAGGATCCACTTAATTATAAATCCGTCCGATTGCCAGGCATGGCACGGTCCTCTCTCTCTCTCTCTCCTCCGCGGCGTTTCTAACCTCAATTATCGAGCGGGCGTGCCCGGCTGAGAGGAATGGAAAACGAATAACAATCTCCGTTCTGTGGGGACAGCACGATATGCGACCAAGGGTCTCTCCTTTCCAACCAACTGGACGTTAATCGATGTTTAACGGGCTATGCTAATTTTTCTTTTTCTCTCTTTTCCCTCTACCCTCGCCTCCCATTGGCGCTCGCGCCATCTCATGGGGGCGAGCCGCTTCCCATGCCGAAGAGACACCGGCCATTAAGGAAATGCCCCTAGATGGAGGATACATGTTTTACCGGCCGACACTTCCGGTTGTGCCGTTTTCAACAAAGCGTCGGGAATATTCATGGAGCCCTTTGTAAAGTACGGGATGAGGCTGCGTTATTGCGGGATCATGGCGATTTTAACGTAACCGACAATATTCGTAAGTAGGGGAGAAAGAAAAAAAAGGTACACTACTCGTTGCTCTTTCTTCATTTCAAGGGACTCCTGTTAGAGGTTCGCCAAGTGACGTCATCGGTGACTCTATACCGGCCATTTTTCCCAACGCGGACTTGGCACTCTGAATCCTGATCGCGGATATTGAATTTCGCTCGAACGTAGCAGCGGATCATCAAAACATGGCGACCATCATTTGCAACAAACCGCGCCAGCCGATTCATAACGTTAATATTTGAGATTTCGCGTGGACGATATTTTATCCGTCACCCGATCACTTGTTATGCTGGCTAAGTTTTAAATGGCGGTCCTATTTGGTCGAGGGCATTGTCTAGAAAAGTGACGCGAAAGAATACGGGTAATAATATTAATAACGCGTTCTTCGGTGATCCGGTGCGCTGGCTTGCGCCGACATTCCGCAATTCGCGTTACTCAGCGTCCCTCTTGTCTATTGCCAATTTGTCGTACAATACGGCGATTCTTTATTTCCATTATGCGCCGAGTTTAACGTCACTCGATGTTAAGCCGGCAATTTGTTAGCGATTATACGAGGTCACACACCCTTTCACGAAGTGAAATTTCGGTCCACGGAAAGCACAGCGGAGAGGCAAACGGAAACATTCCGTTTCATTCGGCCGAGATCGGAGATACGTAATTGCCGGATGACTAATGGCGACGTCATGTGATTTTCGCTGAGCGGTCGAGATATCATTCCGAACAAAGAGTACCCCCGGAGCCTGTAAAGGCGCCATTTCGAGAGCAACAACGGAGCCGCACGTGGGGGCGCGACGTGGCGCCCGATTTGGAAAAGTAAATAAAGCCGTACCGAAAAAAGAACCGCAAAAATTAATCATCGACTCCGAGAAGCCGGCCATTACTCGCGCACTTTCCGAGCTGCCTACTCCGACTCGCGTAAGCCTTTTCGTTCATATTATCTTGGCATAAAAAAAGGGCACATCAGCGGACGAGAGAAAAAAAAGAAAGGAATCGGGATACCAGACTACGATTTCGGAAATTGATGAGAAAAATTGCATCGAGGAATTTGACGGTATCGAGAGGCTGCGCCAATTTCTAGAAGAGGGAAGATGATCAGAGCAAGGACAGCCTAGGGCGTGAGGTATTGAAAGTTGGAGAAATTTCCCGGGGAATAGAAATAGACGAGTTAAGTACAGCCCGGACAACCTCCGAGGATTCCGCAAAAATGAAATGCCAACCGTAATGGGTAATTAAGGGCGTCGAATCCTCGGGCGAGCGACTTCTTGCGGAGGAATCTCTCTCTTTCGCCGCGAGGCCTCGTTTGGGTTCTGCCAAGCCGAATGGCCAGTGTCCGAGGGGCAAGAAGATAATTTTCTGTCATTCCAAATGGCCAGCCTCTATTTCCACCCAGTCGAGTTTTCCGTTGCGTGCCAATTCACGGAAAGCGGTTTCATAATTGTAATTGCGCTTACGGGTAGATAATGAGGTGCCGAAGGTGTATCGCACCGAGAGGCCAGGGTGTGCGGGAAAATTCCGTAACTAAGGGACCGAGTACGGCTAAAACAAAAGGAAATACTTCCAAGAGAAATACTTCCTAAAAGGATTATCGTTCCCACAGATGGAGAAACAGAAAAGTGCTCCTTATCGAGGTTAACTTTCGTCGTAACGCATAGGAGAGTACTCGAATCAGCTAAATGTGCATTTGTTCAACCGCAGAATATTGTTACGTCCACCGAGAGAAAGAAAATTCATTTAACCAAAGAAATATTTGGTTAGTTACAAGAATACTTAAGGTGAAGTGAAACACGTCGAGGAACTTCATCGACGTCGATAAAGAAGATTTTTCTAAATGCCTACGTTGCCAACGTTCGTTTTTATATTGACAGCTGGGTCGAATTATATTGGATATTGTACCAAATGGCATACTCCACCTGTCGTTTTCGTACAATATATATCAAGAAATCGACGTAAAACTCCAGAAATCCTCTGGATTCGTGCCTTCTGGGGCCCTAATTGACCTGCAGAGAGACCCCCTGCGCCATCTATGATTTCCAGGTTAATTAAATTTTCACTCCGAGACCTCATATTACCATCGTTTTAATATAGAAGCGCATACAACACTTTTTTTGCCTTTATCCCGTTAAAATACAAATTTATCGATTACCAGAGTGTTCTAAATTCTCGTAAAATTGTCTTGACCCTTTAGTTTCTCATATCAGAGCCTTCGATAATTGTATATTGATCGAAATATGAGAGCTCGACGCCATTTTGGTTCTTCTTTGGGCTGAGTTAAAAAATTTTGTTAAAAAATCCAAATTTTCAATGTGTCAGGACAATTCTTAGGTGATCAGGATGTGTCAAAGTTTCGGACAGTTTGGTCTTTTACCCTTAAAAAAAAGTGTTGTATTCGAATCGACTGATTTGAAGGGGGTTTCACTTCACCTTAATTCACTCAAATTAATTGTGCACGACTCCGAGTAAATGTCCCCTATGATTTATTCGAGTCTACTTGAGTTGAATAATCATTCCTTGGATTAACAGAATATTTCTTTGGTACTTCGATGAAATATCTTTTCGATGACATTTCTTCCTCAGTGTGGACAAAGTCCATTGGTTAATAACTCTTGCTTTATTTCCATCAAATATTGTGACAAGACACCCCAAACGCGGATTTTCTTCGATGGACGAGATTTCTTGTCCGATTGCAAGCATCGATAGCTTGGACGATCGGTCCATAACCTAAAAAAGGTGCGTTTCTCTCGGGTTGGTCGTTCCTCCTCTATCTCCTAATTGGACCGTAAAGGAACGACATCGTAAATAATGTCATTTAACCAGGTGTTAAGGGGTTAATCGGCGCGCAGTGAAGGGCGAGTCGTACGGTTGTGAACGCGGCTTAACGGTGCTCGGGCACAGAGGCCGCAAGAAGTAAATCTGGTTAAATGCCCAGAGAAGATTATAGTTATCACGATAAAGGACTCTGTTTTGCAAAGAGCCTTAAGACCGGTGTTTATCCGGCAAAAAAAGGGAGGCCCGTGGAACGGCGCGGCCGCGATGTGAACGGGGCTTAAGGCTAGTTCGGATAGAGAGGGAAGGAGAGAGAGAAAGAATGGAACCAGAGGATCGCCAGGAATCTGCGGTCCATTCCTCCGCGGATTCTGCGATCTCGCAGTGTCCCGACATCCGCTCGTCACTCTCTCACCCTAAACGACCGGCCGTTTTCCCGCGATTTATTATATTCTTAATAGTTCTTAATTCGCGGCAATTAAGCCTAACAAGCGCAACTACGCGACGGAATGGAAGGGAAAATCGTCGCCGCCGGATTAGCCGGTCAACTTTCCCCGGTTAATATCCAATTTTTAATTAATCCTTAATTAATTTCCTCCCGACTTCCATCAGACGCCCCCGAGATCCTCCGCCGTAATCCCATCGGAGAGCCAGCGCGAGTTTAATCCTCCATTTTGGAAGATCTTTCGCCGAATGAGGACGGTGGAATTCATTTTCAAGTTTGCGGACGGAAAAATGAAAGTCCGACGCGGGGAGAAAAGAGATTGTTAGAAAGGACCGAGCGACTCGTACCTGGTTTCGTGTAGGAAGAGCCACGCCCAGGCCGAAGCATTTTGAATTTTACCGCCGCGAGGCCCCCCGCCATCTTTCGCCGTGACGTAGGTCGGGAGATAAATGACATTGTCCGCTGGTAGGTGATTACAAAATGGCGCGTCGATATGGCGGTGAATCGCGGTTCTCGCGGAGGGTACAGTCCGCGGTAAAATTTGTCGCAAGCGAAGGGTGGACGGGGAGGGGGGTAGAGCGGAGGGGGTTGGCCGCAAAAAAGCGCGGAACGCAAGAGAGTCCGAAGTAAACGTTCCGCGAGAAATAATTGCTCCCGCGCCAAGCGCTACGGGTTAAAGCCGCTTTTTTCTTCCCCGCGGAATAAACTAGAGCGCTAACGAGGCTGAGCGTAACGCGGCTAAGCTGGAAAAATGGCGGCAGTGGCTATCACCGAGATCGACCGCCCTCGGCGAGCGGAACGGCCGATCGCGGAATCCGACCGCGGGCTCGAGAGGTTCACTCGCGGCGAGGCCGTGCCTAACCTTAAAACCGAGAATGTTGTCCGGAAGCCGCGACGACGAGCCTCGAAAGTGGCGAGGTGGCGGCCGGGGCGCGATCTCCGTTTCCGGCGCGGCTCGCGTATTCCAGCCGCGTCTCCCCGACTCTAATTAGTATGTGCCGAGGCACCGGGTATTAGGCAGCGCTTACAATTGCATACGAAAGACGCTCCCCGCCGGTTCGGACGAAAAGAATTCCGCGGAACGCCGGGAACGCATTGTTCGACGGGGTGAATGAAACGCGCCGCGAGGAACTCCCGGGAAGTGGCGCACCATCAATAATTGATGCTCACCGCGCCCGATCGTCGCCGCCATTAAAAGAGGAGCAGAGTTTCTAATTCCCGACCGAAGCGGCCTCTCGAGAGTCGGAGTTCCTGCCCCAGCCGGGGAATTAGACGAGGCCTAACCTCGTTTGGGCATCCCGATGGGAGACGGTTTACTCAATGGCGGATCAATCGGCGGTCGAGCGAAAATCAACACGCCGGTGCAAGGTTCGGTCCTGACGGGGATGTCTCCGCGGGTGCAGGGGAAATTGCAAACGTCTACCGTGGACTGGCTACGGTAAAGAGCCAATCAGCGGCCGGTCACGTACCGACATAACCCCTAAAACCGTTTCGCCTTCCGCTCGGACTAATCGCTCGCAGTTTGCGGCTTGTCGTCTAACAGGACAGCTCGTAACAGATGAGCGGCCACGATCGTAAACCATAACCTATCCGTCGTCACTTGTCCTCCCGGGGGCGCCCGCAAAAGGCTGGACACTCGCTGGGTGATCGTAAGCGGGAAGACGCTTACCGACCTAACCTACCCCAACCTCACGTAACGTAACCTCTCGGCCCCACTCGTTAACCGACTGTTTCGATTTACGACCCGGGAAATCACGAACATTTTTGGCGACCCAGGGCTCCAATACTCGTAGACTTGCTCGTCGCGCGAAAAAGCTTAATGGCCGCCTTAAGGATCGCGCGGTCTCGACCAGTTCTCACCTGGGAAATTCATTACGCCGTCCCTCTCTAACTCGGCCGCCGAAATGCAAACTTTTTCGCTGAATCCAATGTTTGCGAGTGAACAATCCCCCGCGGATTTTGTTTATCAAAAAAAAAAGAAAAAAAATCACCGATTAAGTCACGAAAGAGGAGAATCAGCTTTGCTACCATATTTACCCCGCTTTCCTGGCCGCCATATTGCTTCCAGTAGGTAGGCGAAGAAAGGGTGGACGAACTCCTTTGCATCGCTCCCCCGTTCACGAACAGTTGACTAGGACTGTTTCGAATGGGGGGACTGTTCGTTCCTAGGGCAGTCTGAAGATGAACCAGCATCTGGGATTGGTTCGAACTGGTCTGAACGTTATTCTTCCCACTCGCGAAGACGTTCACATTGTTCGGACTAGTTCGAGCTAGTCCAGCTTCTCCCTGCGATAAATTCGAACAGGTTCGACCCGTGTTCGCACTAGTCCTCAACCGATTCGGACTCATCTGAACCTTGAACTCTCCTTGTCCGAAGTTCAGCCCGACTTGAGAACCAGTCCGCACCACTTTGCTCTGACTGTTCACGCTGAAGTTCTTGAACTCGTGGTTCAACTTCACGTCGATCCCGAAATCGCTCAGCTTGAAGTTCTGCTGGTTCATTTTGAAGTCCGCATTGTTCTTAAAACTGCGATCCATTTCCGCGGACGGTTCACCTCACGTTCGCGATTCCCCAGTCCACGGTAACCCTCTTGAACATGTTCACGTGTCACGCGAACCTTCCTCTGAATTCCTGCGGGTCGTAATTGTTCATTGTATCGAGCCGCGATCTCTTGATCTCACTTGAACCGAAGTTCGGATTATTCGAACGAAGGTCGATGAACACTGATGAACCTGCCGATCTCGTCATCTGGTCTACCAAGAAATCCACTTAAACTTGATTGAAGTTGCGATAAATAAACCCACTAGCGCTCTGACGACGCGAAAATCTGTAAAGCAAATAGGAACGCAAATATATTGTTCACGGTATTCAATTTTAATTTCAACACCTCTCGGCAAGAACTCTCGTGAACCTGAATTAAGCACGTTCAGCACTGCCGGGGAACACGCAGTCTCCTGGACTGAATACTAGTGTAGATTACTGATTAATCTCGGAGGCTTTTTTTTTAATAACAACTTGGACTTCGCCGGGTTCGAAGTACGCGAGAGAATGCGTTCACATTAAACGGAATGAACGAGGAGATTAATGGTCGTTAGTTTAGCGCAATAGGTTTGACAGTCAATCGATTGCGCGCGTTCACTACTGCCTTGACACGATTTAGACCGTCAAATTTAGCATTGTCAATGTGTCTTTACACACGGCCTAAGACAATTTCAAATTGCGAATAATTAGCAATGACAAAACATGGGAAAGAAGTTCGAGGGAGGAGCATTGACACGGCGTTATCATTCGTTGAAAGTGGCTGACAATTGATGGCAATTAATTAAAACTGATGAATAGCAAAAGGTGTTGAGGTCGGCAAAAATTCCCGATAATACCGGCGGATCAATTAAAACTGATTGGCTCGAAACCCATACAAATTAATTCTCGGGAGGAATTTTTAATCAGCGGATAATTAAAAGAGGCGACTGTATCGGTTTATCCATTCGCGGCTGATTAACAGAAAAGTGTCATTAACTAGCTCGTGATTTGCAGCCTCCTTTGTTATAGATTCAATTAAATCGTTCCCCGAAAATCCCTAATGACCCTAACAAACCGACGTCGAATTCGACGATTCGCCGCAACTTGGTCTATCCATTTTGGGAATAGAAAATGATCGAAAGCCGAAACCAATTGACACTAATTGACGCCTGACACATACTTATTAACTCACACGCCCCGTACCAATTTTCAATTAAAATGTTATTAAATCATCACCAGAAGCCGGCGGGTAAATTGGCACTAATTCACTTCGAGGGACTCAACTCATCGTTCCACTGTGCCAACGGTTTAATTATAAAACGTAAAGTGAAAACACGAAGAAACCACTATTTGACTCTTGAAGGCGGTGCACGATAACCGGCGAAATCAGAAATCGACGGTAAAAGGGTTCGCCGTTGCACAGGTACATTTCTTTCTTGAAAAGGGTTTAATAAATTACAAACGATCCCCGAGTGCGGTCGCCGGGAAGGGGCCGAGTGGACGCGAAAAGGCGAAAAACGGGGCTCGGGGTCGGGGGCGTAAAAACGAGATCCTCCGGCGGATGCGATAAAATGTTAAAAGGGCGAAACCCGTAAGGAACAATGGAGCGGATTAGAAGGCAACGGCCAGCTGGCTAGCCAGGAGAGGGACGACTGGTTTTGTTACTCGGCTTTGGCTGCACCGCACACAGTCCGAGAGAAGGCTGATGCTGGGCTCCAGGGGAGCCCCCACCACGGCTCGGTGCGGCGCTCGCCCTCTCTCTCGCTCCCGCGCGCGCCCCCCTAGCGCCCTCTCTCTCCCGCGCGCTGCCGGCCGCGAGCTGGCCGCGACTTCGTCTGAAACGCAGCTCGGCGTGCTTCCCTAGATCGCGTCATTGCGCGCGATCCACGCTCGTTGCAAACTGCAACGAGGTCGTAGAAATAGGGGAAAAGAAAAAGGGAATGAAAATGTTATTTTGAAAAGAGTCTGCAAGAAATTTCCTTCGCTTTCCGTTGGATCCGGCAAGTAAGGCGCTTCGCTTTGTGCGGCCAGCGCTGACGGAAGGACGCTGCAAGTGCTCACTCGCTTTCGATTCTTCCTGGCGTTATAAAATTCAACGAAGTATTAGATAAAGAAATAAGGAATTGAAAATGTTATTTTGAAAAGGGTTCGCAAGAAATTTCCTTCGCTTTCCGTTGGATCCGGTGAGTAAGGCGCTTCGCTTTGTGCGGCCAGCGCTAACGGAAGGACGCTGCAAGTGCTCACTCACTTTCGGTTCTTCCTGGCGTTATAAAAATCCAACGAAGTCTTAGAAAAGGGAGGAGGAAATGAAAACGTTATCTTGAGAAGGGTTCGCAAGAAGTCCGCCACGCTTTCCCTTAGATCCGATGACTAAGGCACTCCGCATTGTGCGGCGAACGCTTACGGGAGGGCGCTGCAAGTGCTCCCTACCGTTCCGAAAATTTATGCAGTGCACTGACAGCACTGAAAAACGGCACGACCGCGGTGCGCTAAGCTCCGCTATTACGTAACCCACGCAACATAACCTGCCATGATCATTGCTTCCGTGGCAATCTAATTTATCCTTTTCCCAGCTTCCGCAGCGACTGAGCATGACCGAGTTCCTCCCAACGGGAATAATTCCACTTTTCATCGCTTTTACTCGCGTCCATTTACCGAGTCCTTCTGATTTCAGTTAATCCTCCGCGTTTCTGCACATTTATCCGCAGGATTTACAAGACATTCCGACTGTTCACGATCTGCTATATCCACAAAAAAAAAAGATACCAGGTAGCGGGGTGACATCCCTCGCGGTGCGCCGCCATTTGCAATTGTTTCGGCGCCCACCATGTAGACAAACAATCTCGATTTAATTCCCCTCCCCAAGAGACCCGTTCGCTTAAATCCTCCCTGCCATGAATCTTCCGTGGTTCTTTGCAGGATGCTAAAGTGGATTTCGGAACGCGGAAGCAGTGCTGCCAGTGTGCTCACAGCGCATAACGGAACGCCTCCGGCATTGCCAGTGGACCCTCTAGTGATGTCCCTGCATTTATATCTAAACTGCTCCGATAAATTCAGCGATCTGAAATAACTCCATTATCGTGCTGCCCCAGTAATAAAATTCATTCTATCATCGTCAAACCAACCCTAACAAAAAGAAACGAAAAGGAGTACTACGATGAAATTAATAAAGATTCTAGGAAGAAGTCATTAAAAGGAATCACATGTCGCAAAATATTATTAATTGACGATGTTAAACTAAAGGACAGATGTAACCCCCTCCTCTGTACTTCATAGGGATCCTCTTCCTTTCTCCTCGATCCTACATAACGTCGCGGATCTATCGGAAATCCATTCTATCCTTATCAAACCATCCCAATAAAAAGGGACGAAAAGGAGTGCTACGATGAAATTAATAAAAATTCTGGGAAGAAGTCATTAAAACGAATCCCACGTCACAAAATATTTTTAATTGACTACGTTAAACTAAAGGACAGATGTAACCCCCTCCTCTGTACTTCATAGGGATCCTCTTCCTTTCCCCTCGATCCTATATACCGTCGCGGATCCATCGGAAACGGAGGAAGAAGATTCCTTAGGGCAACCCACACGCGTCTCTCCGTCCTTTCTTCCGTTCCCCTCCACATGAAAACGAGTCGCCGGGTCGCTGCATCTCTCGCAGTCGCCGCCAGTGTCGCTGCGGTGCGATACGGAAATAGTCCCCGCATCGCGAGCACGGAAAGAGAGAGGGGAGGCGGAATCGGAGGGCGCGGGAACTAGGGAAAGGAGAAGGGTCAGAGGAGGAGGCAGGGCGAAAGAAAATACGGAGTTAGGAGTTCCGCCGGAAAATAGTGGATTATGTGTGTTTAACCCTCTCCACAGCGGCGCTCCTAAGCCCGAGTTATGTTTAACTCGGCTCGAAAAGTAAACTCCGCATCCTACGGGCGCAACTCCCCGAGCGGGGACTTTCGGGGATTACTGGAGGCCGATTCGCCTAGAGGCGGTCTTGCCTTTGTTTGCTTCTTATTTTCCATCCTTTTCCCCTGCGCGGGGTAGAAAAAAAAAAAGAAAAAGCACACGTGAACAAAACCTGCGTCTTCCGCGGTGGCTAATGGTCGTAATTTGCGATCGTTTCCATGCGTAATTCCAGGCTAGATCCAGGATTAATTTACTCGCAACAGCTTTTCTTTGAGCTTCCGACGGTTTGAGCGTAAAGTCAAAAAGAGGAATTTTGACCTGGAATCATTACCGAGATGAAAAGTGAAGTAGAAATTTACCCTCGTCCTTATCCTTCTCCCAGCTAGATTAATTCCCATGTAAACCTCTTTTTTTTTCACGGTGTAACCAATACCTTCATTGCGGCATCCGCGGATATGTTCATATTCTCGCGGATACCCGCTCGGGTTGCGGTGATAAAGTTACCATGAACCTATAGCGAAAACAAAGCGTCCAATCACAGCAAGAACCTTATGAACATATAACTGTAGAATCTAATCACCTCATATCGTTATTCCAGGCGAAATCCCATTCTCGCCCTTATTCCTTTCCCCTAGACATTTCCCTAGATTCGTTCTCTTTTTTTTTTTTCCCCCCCCAGTGTAACACCCCCATTGCGGCGTTCGCGGATACCTTCAGACTCTCGCGGATACCCGCTCGGATTGCGGTTAAAATGTTCATCCGGAGTAAGCGGGAGCTTTCCAGGGAGGCCGGCGGGGGTGGAAAAGGCGGTAGAGAGGGGAAATCCCGAGAAAAAAGCAGACCTATCCGAAGCAACAGGTTGCAAAGCTCCCCTCCCCCCTCGGCCTACCCCTCTCGTTTCACAGCCACTCACAGGGCGCACTAAGTATCGCCGCGTGTGTGCCTCGCGTGTCTCGCGCGTGTGTCGGTATCGCCGCGTGTGTGTCGATGTCACCGCGGTTGGTGGCGGCCCTGAAATGCCCCTTTTACCGTGCCCACCCTGACCAGTGCCGCCAACACTCCGGCTCGGATTACGTCGATTCCCGATAGCCGGAAATCCCCCGTTGGCACCCCGGCCCGCCGCTCCCCGGGGATCCCCTTCGCCAGGGAAATCGACTCCGGGGTGAGTGCCGGATACGCGAGACCTAACCCCTTTTCCGATAGTTTTAGCACCGAGGAGGAAGACATGCAAATTCTGGAGCTCCATGAAGGCCGGCTACGTACGACCGCCGCATGCAGACGCACAATCTAATCATTGGAATGAACGAATACACAAAATTGCGTATATATTTTTTTTAACTTGTTAAATATTAAATAAAGAAGAACGGCACGCGTGTTTTTTGTTATCCTACCTAAGAGGGTTGGAATAAACGAAACGCTTGATTTGGGGTTTCGTCTCACTGCATACAGGCGCACAATCTACTCATTGGAATGAACGAACACACTAAAATGCGTATATATATTTTTTTAAATTTGTTAAACATTAATTAAAGAAGAACGGCACGCATGTTTTTTGTTACCCTACCTAAGAGGATTGGAATAAACGAAACGCTTGATTTGGGGTTTCGTCTCACTGCATACAGGCGCACAATCTACTCATTGGAATGAACGAATACACTAAAATGCGTATATATATTTTTTTAAATTTGTTAAACATTAATTAAAGAAGAACGGCACGCATGTTTTTTGTTACCCTACCTAAGAGGATTGGAATAAACGACACGCGTGATTTGGGGTTTCACCCCACTGCATACAAGCGCACAATTTACTCATTGGAATGAACGAGTACGCAAAATTGCGTATATATTTTTTTTAACTTGTTAAACATTAAATAAAGACGGACGGTACATGTGTTTTGTGTTATTCTACCTAAGAGGGTTGGAAAAAAATGAAACGCATTATTTGGGGGCTCGCTCCACTGCACACAGGCGCATAATCTGCTCATTGGAATGAACGAATACAAGGAATTGTGTGCATATATTTTTTTCATAATTTGTTAAATGTTAAATAAAAAGAACGGTACATGCGTTTCTTGTTAGTTTATCTAGGAGGGTTGGAAAAAAAAATGCAACGCGTTATTTGGAGACCCGCGAACCCAGGTCAGTACTATTCGCCGCATTCTGTCCCCATTGTAAGCGGAAGCGAGGGCAGACAGGTAGGAGAAAGATGGCGCTAAATTAGCGGGCTCGAGAACAGCCGGGTAATGGCGCAGTCATGGTCTTATAAATAACCCGGGCTCGTGAAATTCTCATGTGCTATGCGATGGATTACCATGGGCTTAGTAGGCGCCGTTTAAATTGTGAATAATATATTATTCCTTCGTAACGGAAGCAAAAAGACCGGGGCTATGCAAACGAGCAATTGGCCCGTCGCGGACGTGCAGAAGATCAAGACAACCGAGAGACCTCAAGGACGAGATCGACCAACTCGAGTAAGAAAAAGTCGACATTTCTGTTAAATTAATTCCAACAGGATCAGATCGTAGAAACTCCTTTCAACCCACGACGACTTATCGACGGCTCGGTAATTAAACACCGGATCTAAAAATATTGTCCGGCAATCTGAGATTCAGGAAATTATCGATAACAATGTCCAGGACCGACGGCGGAGACTCGCTTTTGATCCCTCGTCTAGGAATCGGGAAATTTATGATCCGATTGGACGCGGTCCAAATCCCCGCAGCAAGT